TATAGTTGGAACAAGTTTCACAAACATGAGATGAAAATGACTTATTAAAAGTTATGTTATGCTTATAAAAGACCTAAATTTAGCAAAGATGTTTAACCCGGCATTTCACTTTATTTGTAGCCATGAACGAAACAAGTAAAAGTAGTATAAAGATGTTTAACCCGGCATTTCACTTTATTTATAGCCATGAACGAAACAAGTAGAAGTAGTATAAAGTTGTTTAACCCGGCATTTCACCCTTGTTTCGTTCATGGCTATAAATAAATAGAAGTAGTATAAAGTTGTTTAACCCGGCATTTCACTTTGTTTATAGCCATGAACGAAACAAGGTGAAGTAGTATAAAGATGTTTAACCCGGCATTTCACTTTATTTATAGCCATGAACGAAACAAATAGACGTAGTATAAGAAATAAAAATATTGCTGTGACGGTTTTTATTCTTGAGCGGTTTTTTTTGTGTGGAATATTCGGTAAAATAATATCTTACAATATCTTTAGTTCTTCGTTGAAACACAAATTCAATATTCACGAAATCGATGCAACAGACAAACCACTAACATAATAGTTTACTTAATAATTTTACCACCGTAACAGACTCACTAATTAATCAACAAGTTACTTAATCTCACTTACCATACAGTACTGGATTAACGAATAGGCCACCTAGGGTTCGTAAACCTAGTAGAATAGAGGCAAGAGTGAGTTATTATTATTATTTCCAAGTATTATCTGGGCCTAAGGCTCCACTTAACCCCAATCCGGCTCTGCTACTATACCGATCATGCCAGTTGAAATTGCTTCCTAAACTTTGAAGAAAAATCTAGTTACAGGTATCCCTCGGTTCATGAATTCGGTTTACGTATTTTTGCTATAACGTAATTAACTTTTATGGGTATGTCTTTTGAGTTGCGTTCGCATTTTTCGTTATAAAGAAAATTTCCATAAAGGTTGTAAGAAAATTTTGTCCGTTACGAAACAATTTTTCACTATTACGAAATTCAAATAGCTAAAAAGCTATTTTTCTCTGTTATAATACTGAATCGCCTTCAGTTACTAAGCTATTTTTCACTACCACGTAATTCAAACAGCAATTTAATTTTTAATGTCAGCAATATCAAATTCAGCCGTCGTCGTCTCGTCTGTCTCTATCGGTATTTGGTTGCGTTATTGATTGGTTACAATCTGGGAGGGTAAGGTACAATCGACACCTCTTCCTCCCTCCTTTATGTTTTCTATTTTGTATCTTGCTCAGCGTCTGAGCGTCAGTCAGCCTTTGTTCCTCGTCTTGTTCTAACGTTGTGAAGTGATCTGTGTTTTTTATCCGCCGTAATTTACCTCAACCTTCAAGATGTCTGGCAAGAGACCTTCCTCAAGCTCAACTGTTGCCCCAGTGAAATGTTCTCGCCAGGCAATAACGCTGGATACGAAAATGGACATAGTAAAACGTAACAGTATTTTTTCTTACGTTACAGTGGAAGAAATGATACGTTATTGTGACCAAAAAGTTTGGGTCAGGAACGCAATCTCTATTCTTTACCTTTAAAATAATGGGAAAAGCGTTTTAGATTTACGTTTGTTCGTTGTACCTTACGTTCTGCAAGAACGTATTCGTTTCGTATATCGAGGGATATCTGTATTGAGTCACGCATTCATCATGTGATGTCAAAAGCTCCCTTTAGCTCAAAACAATACAGATGTTTAAGTTATAAAAAATATAGCAACAAAAATAAGCATAGTATAGAATGAAGGTGATGAAATACCACATGAAACACAATTAATATTAAAACTTTAAATTTTTGGTTTGAAGCATGAAAAACCTGTTAATAGATGGCGCAAATGTTGAAATATCAATAATTTCCGTTTGCTTTAGAGCAAAACCACATTGGGCTGTCTCCTATGTCTACCGTGGGGAATTGAAACCCCGATTGTAGCGTTTAACGCTGTTTTATCGGGGTACATATTCATTTCTCAAATATCTAAATTTTCATTTATCATACATAAAACATTATGACTTACTATTTTTTTGAGTGCTATTATTTTTAGAAATGTTTTATATTATCTCACTTATAATATTTCAGCATACTGACATTTGATGACTTTTATTAAACTCATATAATGTAAAACATCATCAAGGTAGTACCACTGTAATACTAATAAAAGTATTCGGGAAAAATACACGGAAAAATATGGATAGATTTTTTTTTTTTGGCACAGCGGTATATCTGTGGACTTATACTGTTAGAAACCTGGTTTCGATACTCGTGATGAGCAGAGTACTGACAGCCCTTTGTGTAGCTTTGTGCTTAATAACAAACAACTACAAAAATAGTTTTTTTATATATTGATTTAGGTAATTTTTTAATGATTACGCTCATAAGTCAAAATTCAAAGTTATCTATTAAATAAAATGCTTGCTTACAATAAATAATAATGATAAAAACGTCTAAGAGTGATTTTACTTTTAAGACGATGTGGTAGGAAAGTTGTTCCTTTATACTGAGATGACAAAAGCACAAAAAAAACAGTCTTAAGAATTAATAACTCATTCTTTGCTCTAGCTTGTTTCAAGCTGAAAAAAACAAAAATATCCAGTTTGAAACCAATATAGCGATATAAAGTTAAACATTTACTTCTCCAGGCTATGAATCCATTTTCAGTTTATGGAATAACGGGTAATATATATACCTGCTACTTTTAAAGTAATTGCCACAAGCCAACTGCGAGACGAGAAGAATGTAGTTACCGAACTAGTTCCTTTTATGGTCACAATTACACTTTTATGTATGAATAACCGAGTAACCGTTTCACAGTTAATTGAAGCGAACAGAATGCTTATATACATATACATTCAATCGTAAATAAGCTTCTTATTAAAAAATTATTCGAATTATGATTAAGAATGCAACGTCAATTTATTAAATATATCCGTAGAGTTTTGTGTATTGCTAGAATCCTCCTTTTTTAAAGCGTTTCTTGTTATTTTGATCGTGAACTAATATAGATGTAACTCAACCAAGCTTTTTTTTTCATATAATAATAATTATGTCATCATTAGTCCACATGCCCCCCA